CGATGCTTTTGATTCAGAAAACATTCAGTTTTATATTTACCAATATTATGAAAATTTCTATTAGTCCTCCATTTGTGAATTTTCAAGTATACTCATATAATCACTACCTTATATCTAGAGTGTTACCCTTTTGTATAAGTCTGCTAGAATTTTGTTATTTGTTTTTCTACAAATTTCTTTATTTCATATTCACTTTTGAAGAATGTATTCGGTATTGATAGAGATTACTGAAAAATATCTTTACCGTATGTAGATTCTTTACTTTGTCTTCTGATTTCCAGCATCCTTGTGTTGCTATTATTATAAGCTAATTCTCGTGGCTTAGTTTGGTAATAATTGGGCTCATTCAGCCTATCATTTTAGACCTTCACCTCTTCCTAAAATTTTGGTTGAGTTCACTCTTCCAGTTTTTCTAGCATATGAATAAGGATGGTTTCCAAATCAGCACATTGTAATCACCCCCACACCTATGCACCTGAGGCTTGATAGTAATTTAAGAAGAGTAAAGCTCTTTTATGGAAAAGGAAAAGAGAGAAAATTAGGGAGGTATGAAAAAAGCAAGCTGAAAAATTTGGAGCTTTTCTTCACCAGAATGACATTCATTTTATATAGAATGTTTACCTCTGTATATTATTGTTTATGTCTTACATGTATATATATGTTATTTTCATATTGCAAAGGTCACATATATTAATGGTAAAACACACACTCCCCATTTTATACATTTATGTACACACATCACCATAACTGTTGTACTCATGAAATCATGGTTTATATTGTTTTTTTCTTACCCCTCCCTTATTGTATTATTGTCTAACATGGGTGCAGAGTGCATTCATTTGAAATATATAGCCTGATGAATTTTTACATGGGTGTATATATCTATTGTTACTGCTAGTGTTAAGGTAGAGAATATTTCAAGCACCCCAGAAAATTGCCTTTTTAGAAAGAATTGCCTACTTTTCTAAAAATAAAAATGTTGTCTTGCAGGATGGCAGGGTTGGGAGAGGCAATGGGCAGAGGAAAGACAACTCAAAGTCCAATTAGAGAGAGAGAGAGAGAGAGAGAGAAAGTTCTAGAGAGGCTCATACCTCAGGAGTGCAGCATCTTTTTAGGGCAGTCTCATATATATTGAAGATCAGGTACAGAGAAGTTGGGCAGGTGCATGGAGGAATGTACATGCTGGGGATGTGTATCGGGATGCATAATTGTCTGGCACAAGCTAGGGGGGAGAAATAGGGGCTGTTGCCTGGAGGCCTCCATTATTCCTGCTGATCAAAATATCCTATCTCTAATTTCTACTCAGACTTATCTTTTTGTTAAGATAGTGTAGCTGGTTATGTTAATCTGGCCATAAACTCTACTTGCTGTTCTCAGCATAATACTGGTTTCCCAGTATGTTCCTCATACCAAGACTTTTATCCTGGTGAGAAGCCCCCTGCAGGCTCTATGTTTTAATTGCCCAGGAGGAACTCTGAGTGCCAAGACAATATCCCTGAGAACAAGGGGGCTGGAGAATCTCACATTAAAGTACCTATTGATAACAGAAAACTTTCAAAATTGCATAATGTACATATTTATTAAAGGCAGGTCAACTAATATAAAAGCAACTTAAAAGCAATGAAGTTATTAGTAATCAAATGTTTATTATGGGAATATCAGAATTCTGAAAATTAGAAATTCAATTTAGTTTACCAGAATTTTTTATGGTATTCTTTCTGACTCCCTCCTTCCATGGGCTGTGATAGTGAAGGGAAGAAAGGCAGTGATTTCACGAAGTTGGTGGGACTGAAGGACTTTCCATCCTCATTCCTGCCAATTCATGTCTTCCCTTCTTTTCAATCCAAGACCTGTGATGTAGCAATCAGGCATCACCTACTTCAAGAATCGTTAAGAAAATGTCAGAATCGTTGAGGCAGTCTGGTTGATGAAAGTTGGTGTATGTCAACAGTGGCTATTTCATGTTTATCTTGAATCTTTATACATAAAGAACTTAGTCTGATTAACCAGTGTTTCCAGGGCACATTTCATATATCTGTTTTTCAGGCTGTAGATGAAGGGGTTCAGCATGGGGGTGACTACCATGTATATCACAGAACCAGTTAGGCTTTTATCACTGGAGGTGGATGATGAGAAAAATAAGTAAACTTCCTCAATGGTCCCATGGAATAAAGATACAACGAGGAAGTGGGAGCCACAGGTAGAAAGGACTCTGAAGAATTTCTTATCAGAGGGCTCTCTCAGGATGGTGGTCTAAATCCAGATATACGAGCCTAAGACACCACTCAAAGGAACTGTGAAATCACCTCCTCCTCCCCCCACCCCCAGTGAAGAGGATCAACTATTGAGGGAATTGTCTGAGCTGCTTATATTTAGGAGAATAAGTGGGGGATGGTAATGTCACCACAGAAGGACAGCTGGGCCAAGAGCAGGGTGTGCAATGGAGAGTAGAGAAAGCAAAAGAGCCAGGACCCAGCTACTAAGGAGACAAACAACTCTCCTGCCTCATGATAGTGTTGTAGTGGAGGGGCTGACAGAGGGTCATGTACCTATCATAGGCCATCACTGCAAGAAGGATATTGTCAAGACAACCAAACAATAAGAAAAAATATGCCTGGGAAAGGCACCCTGCATAGGGGACAGACCTCTGATTAGGGTGCATGTTTCTCAGCATCTTTAGGACAGTGACAGATGAGAGACACACATCAGTGAAGGCCAAGTGGCTGAGGAAGAAGTACATGGGGGTGTGGAGGCGGGAGTCCAGCCTGATGAGCAGGATGATAAGCAGGTTCCCCAGCACCGTGGTCAGGTACATGCCCAGGAACAGAGTGAAGAACAGGCCCCACTGCTCTGGAAGGATGTGGAGCCCCAGGAGGAGGAACTTGGACATACTGCTCTGATTCTCCCACCTCATGTTGCTCGTGTCTCTGCTGGGAATGAGGGAAACAGGGAAGAGCAGGAAGGCTGGATTAACTAAAATATTATAGCGATGTCCTTATTACATAACAGTGTTATATTTGAACTGGTCCTGTGTTTATTGCTCACACGTATTGCTGCTTGAAAACAAGTCTGTCATATCCCGGCTCTCATGGTACGTTACTCTCTCTCAAAATAACAAGATTTCCTTCCATGGAACCACAGGGCATTTTTGTTTATTTTGGAAGCATATTTTGAACTATAACCAGTTCCAGGCACCACACAAAGCACTGAGTTCGTTATAATAAACAGGAAATTAAGTCTCTGCATATAGCTAGTTTACATACTTATATCTGGACAAGCCCAATGTCAATAACTGGAATGATGTGGAAACATTATGGGAAAAGCATCTGTAGGTACACAGGAATTTTCCTCTTACAAAGGTGAGAATTCCTCTAAATTGGAATAGAAGAGTTTATGGTAAAATTGGCAGAATCCTAATGATTAAAGATATTTAATATTCCTGGGCACCTAAGGTCAACCCATTTCCCAAACAGAGATTAATAATAGTATGAAATATTTGTCACTAACACATAATATATAGGTAGCATGTTGAGGGGCTTACACAAACTTTCTATTTAAATTTCACTGTTTTCTGAAGTAACCAGTATCAATACACCCATTTTAATGTTGAGGAACACGAGACATTTCCTAGTGTGCAAAGGAGCATCTTTAATAAAAGTAGTGAAATGACAACGTGTATCTAACCAGAAGCTGTCACTCAGAACTGATGTCATAGCCCTCACTGGTCAAGCTGTGTGACCTCATTTGTCACTCATTGGTCCAAGAATTTTCAGTCATACTGATAAGTAAACAAAATGTATTTCACACAGCACTTTATGCTGGACTCTGTCAGTCATTCATTATTCATCCTAAATAAGGAAAGTCACTTCTCTCAGTGTTGTTTATCAATTATAAAGTACAGATAGTAAACATGATAGTTGCAAAGATTTTATTAAATTTTAGATATCACTCTTGCTAAAGCACATAAATGCCCAATAAATGTCAGCCCTTATTGTCATTATCTTTGCATATTCCAACAATGAGGAATATTGTCATTGATATTGATGCCAGTTCAAGTCAGTTGAGTGACTCAGTCAACTCATCATTATTTTTCAAAGCTACTTCCACAACACAACACGAGTATGTGATACAAATGTGAGGGCCTCAGCCAGTACAGTTTTACACCAGGTCAGTTTAACTTGGTAGCAGACACCCCCAGGTGGGATGGCTCCTTGCTCCTCTAGACTCTTTAGATAGTGGACATTCGTGGATGACCTTTCTCAAGGTTCTCCCTTGCGACACGTCCCAGTTTAGTCCACATCCCTAGTTTTCCTTATGCATACAATGTGCCCTAGACTGGGGACACTTTACCTTCCCATGTCTCCAACATCATGGTAGCTCTAAAAAGGAGGATGTGCCTTTAACCCTCCCCTGCCCCCCATACTCTAGGCCAGCACAGGGCTGCACACAGGGGGCTCACTGGGCATCAGACTCTGAAGTGCAGCTTCTCTAGCCCAGACAGAAGGAGCCTGCTGTCTCCAAGACATATATCTTGTCCACAAGTGGTTTTCATTCTCCATCTTTTAATTTTTGGGACAGGGACAGAGAGCTCATAGGGATCAGGGATTTTCCTTATTTTAAGTCTCTATCCTACTTTTTTTTACAAAGAACCATACTGATTTATTAATTAGTTAAATGATCACTTCTACAAAAGATCAATAAACATATTAAAAGTAAGCAATCAAGTTGAACAAAATAATCACAATATAGTTTTTCTGCCAATTGCCAAAAATCATACTAAATACGTTTGATAAATATGTTTCTGCTTTTTCCCAAGGTAGAAAAGGAACCTTGTTTAAAGTCAGTCTCGGTAAACAAAACTGGCATGTATCAGCAAAGAGAATCATGGAAAACTCCAACTTCTCTGTGCTCTATAGGCAGCCCAGATTCAATGGGACATTCACTGTTGGTCAAGCTGTAATAATATCCTTGTTCATTGGACTGTATTATTATTAACACATTCAGATAGAGTGATTTGACATAAGGAACCTAGCCCTGTTAGCAACTGTTTCCAGGGCACGTTTCATGTCTCTGTTTCTCAGGCTGTAGATGAAGGGGTTCAGCATGGGGGTGATGATCATATACATCACAGAGGCAATTACTTTTTTATTATTGGGTGTTGACGATGAGGAGAAAAAGTAAACTTCTCCAATGGTCCCATAGTATAAAGACACAACAAGGAGGTGGGAGCCACAGGTTGAAAGGACTTTGAGGAATTTCTTAGCAGAGGGGTCTCTCAGGACAGTGGTCCAAATGCGGATATAGGAGCCCAAGATGCCACTCAAAGGCAGGAGGATGAGAATTCCTCCCTCAATGAAGATGGCCAACTCATTGAGGGAGATGTCTGAGCAGCTCAAATTCAGGAGTGTAGGGAGGTCACAGAATAAGTGTGGGATGGTATTGTCACCACAGAAGGACAGTCGGGCCAAGAGCAGAGTGTGCAACAGAGAGTGAAGACTGGATAATAACCAGGACCCTGCTACTAAGGAGACACACAGCTCCTGCCTCATGATGGTGGTGTAGTGGAGGGGCTGACAGATGGCCACGTACCTGTCATAGGCCATCACTGCAAGAAGGAAATTGTCAAGACAAGCAAACAATAAGAAAAAGTATGCCTGGGAAAGGCACCCTGCATAGGGGATAGACTTGTGATTAGTCTGCATGTTCCACAGCAACTTTGGGACAGTGACAGATGAGAAGGAGACATCAGTGAAGGCCAAGTGGCTGAGGAAGAAGTACATGGGGGTGTGGAGGCGCGAGTCCAGCCTGATGAGCAGGATGATGAGCAGGTTCCCCAGCACCGTGGTCAGGTACATGCCCAGGAACAGGGCGAAGAACAGGCCCTGCTGCTCTGGATGGATGGGGAGCCCCAGGAGGAGGAACTCGGACACGCTGCTCTGGTTCTCCCACCTCATGCTGCTCATGTCTCCTGGGAAGGAAGGACAGGGTAATGAGGGAAGGCTGGAATTAGCCACATGATTAGAGTGATGTTTCCTTACATAAGGTGTTAATTTTTAACTAGTCCTCTGTTTATTACTCACACTGGTTGATGCTTGAAAACCAGTCTGTGACAGCAGGCTCTGATGGTACATGACACCCTCACAAAATAACAAGATTTCCTTCTTGGAACCAGAGGACATTTTTCTTTATCATATTAATATGTATTAGACTATACCCTAGTTCCAGGCATATACAAAGCACCCAATGCATTATAGTAAACAGGAAAATTCAGTCTCTACATTTAAGGAATTTGCATCTTTAGATCATGCCAGGTCAAAATCAATAACTGGCATGAATGGCAGCATCATGGGAGAGGCATCCCTAGGCAAACAGGACATTTCCTCTTAGAAAAGTTAGAGTCCCACTAAGTGGAATAGAATAGCTTATGATTTGTTTCAGGCTTATGGTAAAATTGCCAGCGTCCTTACTAATCAAAGACAGTTAATATTCCTGGGCACACAAGATCAACCCTTGTTGGCTTTAATAATAATGTGAAATATTTGTAATTAACACATAAGAGGTGGGCAGTATGCCAAAATGTTTACATACAGGTTGTGTTTAAATTTCACCATTGCCCTAATTAACCAGTCTCCTCACACCCATTTTAACCTTGAGGAACAAAATGTACATTTCCTGGTGTGCAAAGAGCATCACTAATAAGTTAAACTAGTGAAATGACAATGTGTGTCTCACCAGAATTTGTCACCCGGCAAAGATGTCACAGCCCTCATTAGACAAGCTGTGTGACCTCATTTGGCACTTGTTGGTCCAGCAGTTTTCAGCAATACTGATAACAAAAAGGGCTTTCAAACAACTTTAATTTACAAAAGTAGGTATATGTGTAGACACTGCATTGTCGTTAGGAAAATACTGTTCCCTTCATTCCAATAATGCACTAAAACTCAGGACAAAGACACAATGACCATTGAGGTAACTAGGTTCCCTTATGGTGGTGCTGGGATTCAGTCTTCCTTTGGCAGTGAGTTTAGAGGATTGGAACACACACATACACATACAGACACACACACACACACACACACACACACAGTCTCACACACTCAAAGCTGAAGAAGGAATCTAGACTGATTCACTCAAGAAGTGGAGCAGGACAGCAAGGCCTTCTTAGGGACCATAAACTTGCTCAGGGTTGTGCTTATCTAGGTTCATGGCCACTGGGAGGACAGTGTCTGGACCCCCATGTGGAGGCCTGGCTGCCCACTGACTTGTGCCGTGTTAGCCTCACTGAGAAAATAGGAAAGAAGCAGTAACCAACTGGACCAACAAGTGTCTTGATTGGGGCAGGGCTTGTGAGGAAGGTTCTGGGTCTGGAGCCCTAAACAGCTTAGGCTGTGTGCACCAGGTGTGTGAGTGGTGTGCAGCTACCTTTTTTCTTGTGTAACTACCTTTGCTGCCCTGAATGTGATGGAGAAACCTCCATGTTACAAATTTTGGTTTGTGGAAGTATGATAATAATCCTTGTTTACTGAACACAAATCATGAGCCAGTCCTGGTGCTGGATAGTACTGGTGCTCATTTAGTCCTCAAAACAGCACTGTGTATGCAAGTGGTTACTGCTCCTTTCCCAGGGAGGGAGCTGAATGTCAGAGAGGAAACAAGGGCCAGATGAGGAATGGTTCCCAGTGGACCTGCTGCAGGCACTGAGGATCCATCCATTAGTATGTTACACCTGCCCAGTGGGGGAGACCTGAGTGACCCTTCCTTTCAATGCAGAGCATGACCACTGTGGACAGCCAGTATAGTGTAATGAAGGAGGCATCTTGGCCCCATGCATTGGAGGAACCATCCCATAAACACCACCTGTATATAAACATCAACAAACACACACACACACTAAACCTTGGCGTGACATGCATATATAATCATAAGGAAAATACAAGATTACACCTAACACTTGACTCTAACAATTTCAAGTCCTCTCTACCCTGTTGCTCATGGATAAATGCAGGAACCTCCTGCTCCACAGCAGGGAACACATCTTCTCTACTTACATCTGCAACTCTTTACTTACCTGTGATGAGTAGCCAAAAGGAAAAGGGTGGAAGTTATGGAGAGGAAAGAGCAGATTTTGAGATGAAAGGACTGAAAAAGATCACACTTGGCAGTGGGCAGTGGTCCTCTTGTGCTTAATGGGGGCCCAGCTGGTGCTTGAACTCAGGTTGTGTCATTTATCTCTCCCCAACCCTTCCTCTCTTAGGTATTTCCCTTCCCCCCTCTCTTTATCTTACTGTTTCTGATCCTTCACAACACTTCTGTCTACTCTCTTTTTTCTTTCCCCTCTTCTCCCCGTCTCTTGTCAGAAATACAGCAATCACACACAGAAACATCTATCCACCCCATCACACACAGATCTTTATGGAGGGCACATCTGACCTCTGGGCACAGAGACACACTCTGCTCACCTAGAATCCCCCACCTGCTCATGCCTGTGTCATTCTTTGTTACAGCAGGCACCTTCTAGTCAGTGTCTGAATCCTCAGCTTTTGCTGGGAAGATCAAAAACAAAAAGTAAGAAGACGTCTTGTGTGAGTCCATAACCCCCTCAGCTTGCTGTGTCTGGTCTGTCCCTGATGCCAGAGAACAGCCAGGACATGACTTTATAAACCACTGAGAGGACAACACAAGGTCCCTGAGCTCCTGGTTAAGGAAAGACAGTCACTTAATTGTCTCTAGTTCCTGCCCGACCTTGGGGAGGAGCCTGCATAGAAGCTGGAAGGACTTTGCTGGTGGAGTCACCTGAGAGGGTGTCCCAGGTGTCAGAGGACCCTGCGCTCCTCTCTGCCTTTAGTTCCAACCAGGTAGCAGCTGGCATGATTGTTCTCCAATGCCAGTGTACCCAATGCTATGGGTTTTCAGTCACCCTTGTTGAGCCTAAATAAGTAAAGTAAGTTCTCTCAGCCTTGTGTTACCTGTTATAAATGCAGATACTAATGGTATTAATAGTCATGTTTTAGGCTGTATGAAGTCATTCATACTAAAGCATCAGGTGCACATTAAATGTCTGTTCCTCCTACATTATCCTTGTGTATTCCACCAAAGATAAACATAATCTATAATCTTGAGTAAATATAATGTTACAGTATTGATGGTTTTTAAATGACTCAATTATTAATCTATTTTCAAATTTCAATTTTTCAAGTCCTGCTTCTCCATGAGAAAGACCTAAGCTCCCCCCACAGACCAATACAACCCTGTGATGCACAGTTTAGTACATCAGCCAGCACATGTGCCCCTAGGTAAACGTGTAAAGGGACACCCCCAGGCTGGATGGCTGTGTGCTCCTCTGGACTCTTAAGAAAGTGGCCATTAGTGCAGGACCCTTCTCAAGGTTCTCCGCTACATAGCTTGCCCATATCAGTCCACGCCTCCATTTTTTGTTAAACATGTAATGTGCCCTACAACTGGGGACACGTTGCTTTCCTATGTGCCCAAAGTCATGGCACCTCTAGGAGGGAGGCCATGCCACTTAACCTTCCCCTCCCCCATTCACCCAAGGCCAGCAGAGGGCTGCACACACAGGAGGCTCCCTGGGCCTCAGACTCTGAAATGCATCTTCTCTGGTTGAGACAGAAGGACGCCTGCCATGTCTAAGACAAGTGTCCAGTCCACACGTAGTTTTCGTTTTCCATCTTTTGACTCTTGGGTCAGGGACAGAGAGCTCATAGAGACCAGGGATTTTCCTTATTTCAAGTCTCTGTCCTACTTATTTTACACAGAACCAGGCTGATTTATTAATTAGTCAATGGCCAATTCTACAATGATTAATGAAAATATTAAAAGTAAGAAATCAATTTGAATAAAATAATTGTAGTATAATTTTTCTGCCAAGTGCCAAAAATCATAAATTGCTACTACTTGTTCATGAAATATGTTCGATAAAAATCACCTGTGATTGCATCTGTACCTAAACCTTTCTTTGTAAGGAAATTTTAATGAAAAATGAAATATCTCTAAGTGGTGTTGGACTATTCAAATTAACTGCATCTCATTCTATTGCATGTTTGTTTATAATTGACACACATTGAAGTGTAGATATTTAAAATACACAATTTGTTTAGTTTTGACATATACATTCATTCCTGAAAGCATCATGTGAATCGAGATACTGCCCATCACCTGTGAAGAGAGTCCTGTCTCACCTTGACTCTCCTGCCACACCTCCATTTTTAGCTCTTTTGCTATAATCAGGCAATGCCTGATCTGTGGCTAACACTGGGTTATTTTCCCCTTGGAGCTGTTAATATTATGCCAAATTTATATCTCAGTGTTGAATGGACATAGACACATTTCTGAAGGGTTCTGACCTAAGAGTAGGATCAAATGACACGTGGACAGTCAACTTTTTAAGAAAGTTGTCATGTCATTTTCACTCTCTCAAACTGTGTATGACCAATAATGCTTAGATTGGGCAGTGTCTTAAAAATCTAGTAGATCTTTTCAATTTTTGTTAGGCCAGTTTTGTGAATTTACCATTCCACTGGGAGTGCAGTGATGATGCTTTGGGATTTTAATTTGCATTTACTTGATCTCTAATAATGTGGAGCAGCTAACCATGTCTGCATATTTATTTGGTGAAGCATTTGTTCAAATCTTTTGCTCAATTTGGAAACTAATTTTTATTCCAAGTTAAGATTTTGAAAGGCTTTTACATATTTTGGTTTCAAGTAGTTCATCAGATAGATTTCTTAGTATTTTCTCCCCATGTGTTTTATAATCTCATTCTTTTAAAAGTGCTATTCAGAAAAGCCTGATGAAGTCCTGTTTTCAGTACCTTCTGCTCTGAATTGCAGTGATTGTGCTTTTATAAGAAACCTTTGCGTAACCCATGAGCACAGGATTTTATCCCATATGTTCTAAAAATTTTATAATTTAACATTTTATATTTAAGACTATTTTCTGTTTTATACTTTTACATTTTTTATTCAGGGCCAA